CTCAATATTCATATGTAACATGTATTCTGTGATAGCCACAAAGGTGACTTATGGTTATCTGTTTTTCTCATTGACTCCTCTCACCGGGCTCGGCTTTCCTGAGCTCTGCAGACAGACCTACTGCTTGAGTTTGAATCCTGCCTCTACTGTTTCTAGAGGGGATAATCATAGTTACTGTTTAGAGAATTAAAGGAGAAAATAAATGCAAAAAAAAAATCTAGAAAAATGTCTGGCATTGAGTAATTTTCAATAAATGGTACAACGTTTATTCCCAATTTACAGATGAGAAAACTGAGACTTGGAGAGGTTATGGATAGTAGCAGAGCCAAGACGGGAGCCGCACTCCCAAGCCCAACTCCTGAAGCCAGCTGCGAACCATCCTTCTCTAGACCCCAGCACCCTGGCCCAGGTCCTGGCTCATGGTGGGTGCTGAGGAAGTGCCTCCTGAAGGAGGCCCGGAGAATTGGTGGATTGACAGACCAAGGTTTCTTTACCAGGAGGTGACAGAGACAGAACCCAGGGCTCAGCTCACTGTGTCAAGCTGGCTTACTCCCAAACGGTGTGTGGGGCTGACAGATCAAGGGCTTTTCTACATGGGGGCCGTGTCCCAGGAGAAGACATCATTGACAGAAAAGAGTAGTCTCTTGGCCCTCTTGGTCCAGTGGGTGGCTTCCTTCTGAAACTAAGGACACAGGGGACGCTTCCAACATTCTAAGAGAAGGAGCTGGTGCTATCCAGGTGACCTAAATCACAACTTCCCAGCCTTTCTAGCTTTGCCCCAATATTCCTCCCAGCCCCCACTTCTAGTCCTTTTCCTGTCTCCCAATCATGACATAGTTTTTCATGCCCCTTTGTGTTAGCACATGCTGTTCCCTGTGCCCGGATGCCATTCCCCCTCCTCTACCTGATGAGCCTCTTGGCATCATGAGTTGTCCCTCTGGTCTCCTCTGGCACTTACACAAGTTGAGTCAGTAATTTTAGCCTTGTCTTATTCCCAAAAGCCTTTGAGAGGAAAGTGTTTTGTTTATTTCTGTGCTGGTCTCCATTTGAGCCTCCAGATCCACTGTCACTCTTCTCTACCCTGCTCCGTGCCCTGGGGAGACTGACCCACATGGACTGAATCTCTGGGTTCAGCCAATTAGAGACTGGAAACTGGAGGGCAAGAGGAGAGCAAGGGGTCCCCCTGGCTGACTGTGTCCCGCCATGGAACACAGGTCTCCTCTCTTCACTCTTTAGGCCTGAGAACGGTAAGGACACCACTGTCACTGCCCCCAGCTTCTGCAGTCTCCTCCGAGGTTTCTCTGCACCCTGCCCACACCTTTATAAATAGCCCTTTTATTAAACTCTCTTCAGATTTCTGATTTCAGTGGGCTATCTGCTGGTTTCTGTCAACCCAGTGATTCGATCCCTTCTGGCACTGTGTGCCTTAGAGCTGGCTCTGCACCCCCAGAAGATGAGCTCCTGGAGAGAAGGGCCATGTCTGAGTCTGTCTGTGTCTCCATGAAGAGGGTGGCCCAGAGAAGATGGGGGAAATGTCTGACGCCTTGCACCAGAGTACCAGCGCTACCGCACATGTGGGGTTGAATGAATGAAATTCCACTGAATTCATCCTTTCATTCACTGGTGTGCTCACTCCTTCATCCACAAATATTCATTGTAGGCCCGTGTGCCAGGTTCTGACAGGGTAGACGAGGCAAAGACTGCCTTCGTGGATCTGGCACCATAGTGAAGAGACCGAGCCGAAGGAGCAAAAGCGAACACATCCCTCACACCATTTCAGACGATGATATGTTCCATGATAGAAATAAAGCAAGGCCAAGGAGAGCAAAGTGACAGGCATGGAGTATCAGGCGATGCTCTGGACATTCCACCACATGGTAGCACCAGGAGACAGAAAGACTGGGGTGGGAATGGCTTTGGTCTACTGAAGATCAGCAAAGAAGCAGGGAAGCTGGGCAGACTGAGTGTGGGAGACTCATAGGAGATAGGATGGGGACTTGCTTCTTTGTCAGGGCCCTTCCAACTCTGGGATTTGAGGACTCCTCAGGGAAGGCATTGTCCGGCCCGGCCTGCCAGCCAACCACTTCCTGAATCATCCAGGTGGAGGCCCATGTGGGGCGATCTCCCCATGTTCTCTCAATCCTCACAATAACCTTGTGAGGAGGGTCTTTCTACCCCCATTCCACTCATAAAGAAACTGAGGCTCAGAAAGTTTAAGCAACCTACCCAAGATCACACAGAGCCAGAGAAAGAACTGGAAATGAACCCAGGTCTGCTTGACGTGCAGCCCAGAAGGTGTTTCCCAGGGCCGGCACATCCATTTGCCAAGGACTCGCTCATTGGTAACATTAGCCCTATGGGGACAGGCTTGCAGGAGGACCCAAAGGTCTCAGCTGGAGGTAGGCGCATCCCAAAGCCACACGGCCAATGAGAAGAGAGCTGGGGTTTAAGTCCAGCTCTTTTCACAGCCTTCCACTCTCTGAAAAAGGGAAATTGGTAGGTGAGCACAAACCTGTGCCATGCTCACCACACCCTGACATTCTTCCAGGGCCAGGGCATGTTGGCTATTGGATATCATTTCAGCCCTTTAATTTCTAATAGACACTGTACTATCATAAAGACTGTCATTTCCTGCAGCTCATGCAGGATAATCGATATGCTGGCTGTCCATAGGGCTGGGAATGACAGCACCTGGGCACTTCCATGAAGATAAAACCATCCTCTCCCTCTTGGCCATTCCCGTCATTTCCCAACTAGACACAGCCCTCATCTTTGAGAGCATTGGCCTGGGGTCTCAAGATGTCCCAGCTTGCTGCATAGCCCCCCGGCTCAGGGAAAAACTATCCTTCTCAGCCTAGCTTTAACATTTCATAACCATGTGACCTTGGGTATGGCACTTTTCATCCCCAAACCTCAGCCTCCTCATCTGTAAAATGGGAGCGATGTGCCTGCCTCATGAGGTGGCTTACGTGAGATGACACATCTTACACACCTGCTATGTAGTCCGTGCTTAAGAGATGGTAGGTAGCTATGACAGTGACGGCGCTGGAGGTGATATTGGTGGTCTGGCTTAAACCTCACATGGTCTAGCTGCAGAGCCCAAGCTCTGGCCTCTGTGCAGTGGCTCCTGAGGATTAGCTGCTGAGAGCAGAGGTGGAGGCCTCCAACTTTCCCGTATGTGTGCATGTATACACACACACACACACACACACACACAATCATACACTCAGCTTTGAGAATTAGGCTTCGCACAGGTTGAGCTATTGTCTCCCCCACCCAGATAAGCTGACAAGGACAAGGTTAGCTTGGATCCACCTGCTCCAGGTCTTACCAGCTGCACCCCAAGTCCCACCCGTGGGTCCTGGAGGGCAGAACCTGAGGGGGCAACCTCAGAGAGTATCTGGTGTGTGTCCAGTCCTGCCCAGACAGAGAAACTGAGACCCAGGTGATTTGAGAGGTGGTCACAATGCAGGCTGGAGGAGGTAGTCTCGCTCAGTGTCTGCAGAAGTCTGAGAGTGTTAAGGTGGGTGGGATAGAAACAGGAAGGAGGCCGTGCTCCAAACACCCCAGGGTAGCAGTCAAGACTCTCTCCTGCTATCACATTCATTACCCCAACAAACCTCCCTAATTCATCATGTTGCTGCATTCTCACAGCAAACTATGAACAGTGGTCTCATTTTACTGGTGGAGCTATCAAGGCTCATAGAATCAAAGCGAGTTGCCCAGGCTCACACAGTTAATAATAAGAAGAAATTGGACTTGAACCTGGGGTCCTAAGAGGCTCCAGCTCAGGAGGACATTAGTTCTTAGGAGGACTTTAGTTTTCCTAATGTCCAGGCACCTCTTTTTCCCTTACTTAATTTATTTCTTACTTTGTTGGCTCTCTTCTCTCTAGTCCTTCTCTCCTCAAGTTAGGAACACACCCACCTTGCCCAACCCTGATTCTGCTACACTCAACTGCAAGCACCTCGAAGGCAGGCGTTTCCTTGAGGTGTTGACTGCTATGTGCCTGGAGCCTGTCACAAGAACAGGTACAAGCTGGACATCAATGAATGTTGGGCTACAATTGTTTAAGTTGATACTCGTGGTCAGCACGATCAATTTGGAGATTTCTATTACTGTGAAAAGACTCACTTCAGTGATTCTTGATGCAAATATACAGGTGAGCAAAAGAACATGGTGTATTATAAATGCATTTTTTTTTAATTTTCTGTTAATAAGATTGCTCCACTTCTTGGTATGTAGAGCTTTTGGAGGGATGGACCATTTGCAGATGTATGCCAGAAGTCTTCTCATAGGGCAGCACTGGGAACCCAGCCCCTGCTCCCTGTGATGGGAACTTAGAAAAACGTGGGTGAACTGGAGTAGCTCTGAGTAAATTCAATGGCAGGAGAAGGTCCAAAGGGCTCCCAAGAGAATTCATCTGGGAGGAAGGGTGGGCTGCTGATCTAAGTTCAACATCAGGGGTGAGGAGGACAGAGACGGATGAGACTTCAATCAGCTTTTCAGTCAAGGATCAAAAGATACTTAAGGAAAAACTCCAAAGTGAAAGAGACACCAGTTCTCGGCCAGCCACGCTGCTGAGCAGTGTCGGTCTGCTTGTGGGTTTATACAGGGGTCTGACCCAGCAGGGCTTTGCCACCTTGGCGGGCGGGCATTCAATAGCAACACCATGTGGTAGAGCCCAAAACCACAGCACTAGCTGGGGTTTCAGCTCCCTTTCTCGTTCTGGAGTTTGGAGGCAGGACTGGGCTGCTTTAGACGAAGTCCTCCAGGTTCTTGGATCAGTTCAACAGAGTGGAGGCCCCTGGATGAATACTGAACTTCCTGCTAATGAAGTCTTCGGATGAATGGTTAGTTGAAAAAATAAGAGGTGCCCTTATTTGTACCCTGAGTTGGTGAAGCACTCTTACAAGTTACAAAACAAGTCAGCTTTATCCACTCTGTCACCAGTGACAGTAACACACACAGTTCTTTTATATCTTTAAAATTAATAACAACAGCTGCATACACATACATGGCATGCTATAGTTTACAAAGCTTTATCGACTCATTCTCTTCTCTGAGCCTCACACCAGCCCTGTGAGATAAACATAGCAGAGTGATAATCCCTAGGAAACTGAGGCTCAGAGAGGAACGGTGACTTGCCCATGGTCACCAACAAGTCGACAAGGCCTGGTTCCTCCCCGGTTGTGTGTAGGGTCCCCAAGCTGCCTCCCAGGGATGCCAGATGCCAGGTCTGTACCCTGCCTGCTCACAGCAGCATCAGGACCACGATGGCAATGACCATGAGGACTCCGGCCAGTATGCAAAGACCCAAGAAGACAATATCACTGATGTCCTGGGCTACCGTAGCCATGGGGCCCTCCAGTGCCTCTGCCTCATCCCCGGGTGGTGCTTCCTGAAGGTGCTCGGCTGTGGCAGCGTAGGGCCCAAGCCAGTCGGAGCCGGATAGCAGGTGGACAGAAGCCTCCTTGCGCCGTGGCTCACACAGGACCTCATACTCATGGATATCCTCCTGCCCGCCAGCCGAGAAGTCGATGTACAGCACGCTGACGATCACTGAGGTGTTGTTCCTTCTCTGTGGGGGTTATGAGGCACTTGCTCACACCCGAAGGGGCTAGGGCTGACCCTGTCCCCCTATGTGTGGGAACTTGGTGCCAAGAAAGCAGAACCCAGGAGCCTAGGTTCTAGTTCCAGCTTGGCCATTGACTCCCTTCTCGCATGGAGCCTCAGTGTCCCCACCTCTAGAAGACGCACTGTGAGGGTGTCTGAAATATCAATATCAGATTTAATGGGTCATTGTTTGTCTGGCTTCAAGGAGGCAGGGTCTGTGACAGAGAGTAGCAACCCTCTCTTATTGGTACCATTAATATCTCTGTTTCACAGATGAGAAAACTGAGGCCCAGAGGTTAAACCCCTTGTCTGAAGTCCCACAGCGCACCAGTGAGAGGACATATTCTCACTCAGATCTGCCCGATTCTTAACTGTGCTCTTAGCCATCGTGCCTCACTCAAACCAAAGAACATCAGACTTTCAGGGCGCCTAGTTCAATCTCCCTTCCTTGGCAGTTTACAGATGTGACTACTGAGGCCCAGCAAAGGCAATGACGCACAGAGCTGGATCCGGAAGCCAGGTCTCCTGCCTCCCTGGTGTAATGTGACCTTCCTTCTGGAATCTTTCTCCCAATTATGTCTGTAGCAATTGTGCGTCTCTGCTGTTGAGTCCCTGATCACTGGAGTGGCACCACCTTAAGGTTGAGAAGAGCCATTGAGGAGTGAGAAGTGGGGGACTTGGCACACTGCTGCCCCCTCACCCCGACACATGAGGGAGGCGGGAGTCAAGTTGCCCTGAGATGGTAGGGTGTTTGGGCTGGGGACTGGGGGGCAGTATATTGGTGGGCAGTCTGATGTGGTCTGGAGCAAGTTGCTGCAGTGACGCAAGGCTACTGTCCCTCCCCTCTCCAAATCTGGAGCAGTCATTACTTTCTTCAGGCTGCCCAACTGCTCCTGCCCAGTGGTGGCACTTCTGAGATGAGACTTCTAAAAATCAAAGCTGCCTGAAACAGAGTGAGCGGTCATGAGCAGTAGGAAGCTGCTATGGCTGGACACTTTGGAGAAAGGTGTGAAGGGGAGGCACAAATCTGGGGTTTTGTAGACAAGTGACCTCGAGGGTCTCTTCCAACTCTGGGTTTCCAAAAGGCTCTGAGTCCACGTTCCCATGGACTGCATTTGTTCCCTCAGCCCGGCTGCCACCATACTCTCAGACTGGCATCCTGGAATTTTGTGATACAGAATCGTGACATAGGGCAAAGAAAGATAGGACCCGAGAGTGTAAAGGGATCCAGTGAAAGGGTGGAAGTGAATCTACATAATAAAGAAGGGAGAAAAAATCATAAAATGGGAGTTCAGGAAAGTGTTTGATGAGTGAGAAGCTTGAGGAGGAAGGAAAAGCCACACAAGATAAGGTGTTATAGTTATGAAGTCAAGTCTGCAATATTTGTTAAGAGATGTTTGGAAAGGCTGTCATTGTTTTTGGCCATTGGACCTGTGCATCGTTGAAAGCAACTCAGTGCAGACTGGTCCTCGGGAGTCTAGGCTTTTAAGGGGTACACTAAGAATCCATAACTGAGTCTAAAATCCTCAGCTTTTATGTTTCTATGATACTGATTCCAAGATTCTGTGATTCCGTGGGTCCATGCTCTGGTGGTGGTTCTGTGACTCTAAGTGCCTGTGAGTCCCTCCTAGATTTCACCAGTCCCTGCTTCTGTGGGTCCCTGTCTCCATCATTTCCTGACTCTGAAGAAAGTGAGGTTCTGCTCCAAAGAAAATCCCCAGAGGATTAGGGCATGGAGTAGGAGTAAGGGCAGATTATCTGAGCAGCCAAGACTGAGAGGTAGACCGGAGGGGCCAGGGGCATGTATTCAGTTAATGTTGACGGGTGGAGGAATACAGTTCTCTGGAAAACACATGATTTCTGCTAAGCCAGTCTGGCAAATCCCCGATACCAAGGCTGGGGTAGGATGGGGCTCTCCCTGATAGAAGCCACTGTCCCTTCTCCCCCTTTCCCCTGCCTGACCTGTCCCTAAGAAGACAAACATCTAGGGTGCTTGAGCCACTGCCCAGAGACTCTCGAGGGCCCAAATCCAGGTTCAAAGTCTCCAAAATACAAGCATCGTGGAAAAAATTCATTTGCAAGCCTTGTTGCCTTTGGAGGGAGGTGGATCCTGTTACTTGAAGGGCCCTTTTGTTTTGCAGTGCCCAGGGAAGAATTTGGATCACAAGGTCAGGGAAGGGTTGAGCAGGAGGCAGCCGGGCTCACTCACAGCTCTGCATGTTAAAAGGGTGAGGACTCCGTGGCCCTGGGGAGCTCCAGGAAGAAGGAGGGGAACAGCCGGAAGCCTTTGGAGATGGTCAGCCCACAGGGCTTTGTGGGAGGAGCCTCCACTAGGGGGTTGTTGGAGGTTGTACAGTGGGACCCCTTTTCTGTCTCCCATGTTTGAGCTCTTTGTTGTGTCTACACTGAGCAAGTTTGTTGAGGGAAAGCCAATAGGGGCTGAGTTCTGCATGCAGGCTTGTGCAGTCACCAGTCAGCCAGGAAGAGAAGCTGAATTCTCAGGAATGGCAGGTGACTTTCAGCAGGGGTCAGAGGTCCTCCTTCATGCCTGCCTTCCTCCCCCAGCCGTACCTGAGACTCGGTGCCACAGGTGTCAAAGCGGGCCTGGATCCGGAAGGTGCTGCCGACTTCCTGGGCAGCACAGCGCCTGCTGCCCAGGTACACCTGGGTCCGCCCCAGTGGGGCCAGCGCCTGGGCAGAGATCAGGATCTGGAAGTCCGTGCGGGAGCAGCTCACATTCATGGGTACAACTGAGGACAGGAGGGAGGAGCTGGAGGCCTTCAAGACAGGCACTCTGACCCCCCACTCTCCTCAAGCCCCCATCCAAGGGTGGTAGATGGGAAAACTGAGCCCAGAGCAGGGATGGCTCTCATGCAGTCTCATAGGGACATTTTACATGCTTTACTCCATTTAACTCCATCAGCTGATGAGCTGCCCAGGGCAGGCACCACGCATGCTTCTTAGGGTTCTCTGAGTCCAGCACAGAGCTTAGCAGGCACGGTGGATGCTGAATGAATGATTGATTAAATGAATGAATATTCTTAGTCATAATAAAAGCTTCTATTTGCTGATAACTTTGCCACGTGTCAAGCAATTCATTCAATCAGTTAACCAATATTTACTGATGGCCTCCTATGCGCAGGCACTAGTCTAAGCACCACAGATACAGAAATGGAAAAAAAAACCAGCCAAACATTCCCACCCTCTTGGAGCTTACACTGTAGTTGGGCGAGGGGGCAATAAATATGCAAAATATACCTAAGCACCAGAGTGGTCTGAAGGAAACCAAGCAAAGAAAGGCAAGGAGAGCAGGGTTTGGGGTAGGGGAGTGTTGAGGAGTGGGGTAGGTGTACAGTTTTGAAAAAAGGTGGTCAAGGAAGCCTCACTCTGTCCTCACAATGACCCCATGAGGTGAACATGACTAAACTCAATCTACAGTTTCAGAAACTGAAGCTCTAAGAGGTGAAATTTGCAGTGGTTGATTTGGGACTTTAAGCATCGAGTCTGTAGGATTCCAGAGGTCCTGGTCTCTCTCCCCTCTCTAGTGGCCCCCTGCACTCTCCAGGCCAGGACAGTGTGACTCTAAGTGTCTGGGTCTTTGCACGCATGTGTGCATGTGTGCAGGTGTGTGTCTGTGGGCAGCGCTTGCTGGAACAGGGGTGAGCACGGGAGAAAGGAAAGGGGTGACGGGTGGAAGGAAAAGGAAAGAGCTGGCAGGCAGAGGCCTGGAACTCTCAACTCCTCTTCGGGAAATGCCTCAGACATATTTCAGCCTCTGGTGTCTGGGCAGTTGGGGATTTATGGGCCTGCCGTCTCCCACGATGATCTTGGTGGCGCTGAACTGTGTGTCACCCCTGATTGATGCCGAAGCTGTCCTCCAGTCAGGAGGCCGCCTGCAGCCTGGGCCACATCTGGCACCTTGCCCAGCACAAGTGCCCCTGTCTGACCCTGGGCTCCCATAGAGATTGGGCAGGGAGGCGGTGTGGGGTGGGAGCGAGGCCCCTGGCCCTGAACTGGAGCCAGGGTTAGAGCTGCTCCACCCTCAGTCTCTGGAGGCACCAAAAGGAAAAGGGACTTGTTTGAGATCACACAGAGCTGGGAGAGGACCCAGGCCTGGAAATAAGACTGTGGGAGACAAAAGGGACTTTAAAGCTCCTTTGGCCAATGTCCTCGTTTTACAGGTGGAAAAACTTAGACGCTCGGGGAGAAAGCGACCTGCCAGCTAGCTGTGTGGCAGAGCTGCATGGCAGCTGGCTCTCCAGAGTGCAATGGAGAAGAGGATTGCTCTAACAGAGTGGCAGTTTTTCTCCTTCCGTTTAGGGATGGAGCTGACTGAGGTTCAGAGAGGGTGGGCCTGCCCAGGTCACTTCACTGCCGCTTGCTTGCTGCTGCTCTACTGTTTCCTTCCCCATCTCTGGGACCCCAAACTCCTTTTGTTTATGAGGTAAGGAGAGAGGAAAGATTTTTCTCTCAGGCCTGAAGCACCTGAGAGAAAGACACCCTCAGCAAAGAGGTCCTCAAAGCCAAACACTGTGACCTGTGTCACCTCATTTCATCTTAACGACTGCCCGTCTAGGGCATTCATCAACCCCTTCTACAGATGAGCCCCTGTGGATGGTCAATAAATTGCAGCATGTGGACGTGGCCTTGATCTGTCTGAGCTTAGCTCTGGGCCCCCTCCCCCGGCCTGCTCAGCCACACAAAAAGGCAGCGAATTGAGTTCTAGTCTTAGCTGTGCCACCCACTACCGTGTGACTGCAGTGAAGGCCCTTCCTCTCTCTGTACCGCCGTTTCCATATCTGCGCAACAAGAGCTTCGGCCTCGTCAGGCAGAGGGCAAAATGCTTCCGGAGTACAGGCATTTCTGGACCCATGGCCCAGAGAAAGGTGATGAGAGAGCAAAGAAATAGTGAACACTGTCGGCTGGTAAATCTAACTGGCACTCTGGAGGCTGGGAAAGCCGAGTATCAACTTCTCCAGCCTCCTCTGCAGTTAGGCATGTCCATCTGACCAAGTTCAAACCGATAAGACCAAGAAGAAGTCTTTTGAGGGCTTCTGAAAATGCTTTTACTTTCCCGATAAAGAGACATTTGTGGCTGGCACCCCTCCTATCCTCTTCCAGCCTTGAACATGGACATGATGCCTGGAGTTGTGGCAGCCATTTTGCAGTCATGAGGCCAGGAGAATTCCAGAGATACTATTTGGGACAACACAGTAGCTGCCTAGCTTCAGACTTCTTGTTGTGTGAGGAAAACAAAGGCCATTTGTTCAAAGCACTGTCAGTCAGGCCTTCTGACTGATACAAGCAAAGCTTGTTACATCTCCGTGGTTATACCAATTATTTATCGTAAACAATATTATCATATTTTGTCTTACCCTTAGGTACAAAGGATCAACCGTAGTACAAGAGAGGCCAGATAGGGAGGGATTAGGGATCATGGAGTTGGAAGCTGGAAAAGTAAGGCCCTGCAATAGTGGAAATGAGCGAGCAAGGGCCACACTGGTACCAAAGGTCCCAAGGCGGGAGTCAGCAGTGGTGGAGCCACCCGGGAACGGCTTGGGGGAAACCATTCATGAGAATCAGGACAAGTCAGTGGCATATAGGAAGGAAGCTGTAAAGACCTGGGACCCCCCACCTCACCTTCTCCCCACCCAGCACACCCAGCCCCTCAACCCCAACTGACCTCCAATGTAGGCCACAGAGAAGCCCCTGTGGGCGGTGCTGCGGTCTGTGTGCAGAAGAAGCAGGAGCTGGTTGTGGCTTGAGGTGACCGGTGGTGGCAGCTGACGGCCACACCAATTCCCCAGAAGGGGCGCCTCCTCGCTGGCCCCATCAAAGGCTGACAGGTGGTCAAAGTCACAGGTCTTGGTCAGGCTGTTGGGCCCTTCCAGTTCCAGGTCCAGGAAGAACACCTTGACCCGGTATCCAGGAGGCAGGCGGATGGTCCAGTGACACCGGATGTTGTTGGGGTAGGAGATGGGGTACCGTGGGCTGGAGAAGTTACCCTTCACCATTGTGTATACCTCCTGGCATTCTCCTGGGGAAGAGTGGGTGGAAGGAGCAATGGTGAGAAGGGTGGGGGTTTATCTCCCTCTGCAGCCACACTTGGGCAGCAGGTGCTACACAGGTTCTAACATCACACTGGAAGGTTGTGGGCACCATGGCCAGCAAACCATACAATTGATCCCAAAGCCTGCTTTAAACTGAAACTAGCTGAAAGCTGGCACCCTCATTCCAATTGACAATCCCTTTCAAGACTGTTGGCACTGCTAGAAATTCAATAACCCCACCTAATACCTGTCCTCAGAGAAGAGTTCAAACTTCGACTTGACAGACGAGGTTGTTCATGATCTGACCTTTCTCCTTTTCTCACTGCCCTCAACCACCCCTACCTTCCAGCCTTACCAAACATCCAGTACTACGAGCATACCAAATCCTCTCTGTCCTCCATGCCTTTGCCTATGCCGATCCCCCTTCTAGGAACACCCGTCTCTTCCTTCTGCCTCTGCTTAACTCTTTCAAAGCACCGCCAATCACTCTCCTCCTCCAGGACGTCCTCCATGATTCTTACTGTTACATAGGTCACAGTGAGTTGTCATTGTCTATTTCCTTTTCCATCTCCTTTCATAGAGAGCAAACACCCCACAGATTTGTTCATACACTTGTACAAACACTAATTAAATACCTACTATGTGGCAAGTACAAAGATAAGCCCATAGGAATTCACAGTCAGACAGAGGAAATTGACATACAAACCACGCACAGAAGGGACGTGTTAGATTATCGCTGTGAAAAAACTTCCGTAACGAGTCGAAGGAAGGGATGAATTCTGAATGAATCGGGAAGTCTTCACAGAGGAGGTGACATGTTTATGCCTTGGTGTTGGCCAGGCAGGGAAGGGTGAGCATTCCAGACAGAAAAAGAGCAAGAAGCTCAAAGCCCGGAGGCAGGACATGGTAACTCTCTCTCCCCACGAGCATACTGGGGAGCCAGGAGCTCAGCATGCAGAGGAGATTGGGGTGCACCTTCATCCCCTCCTACCTGAGAAGTAGTAGGCCTTGAAGCCCCGGCCTCCAATGTTAAAGTCGGACTTGAACACCACCTGCAGCTCGTGGCCCAGTGACACCAGAGAGGGGGGCCTGGTGCTGCCACAGTAGTGTTGCCCACTCGCAAGGCCAGGTCCCCCAAGCACAGCCACATAGTCATAGGTGCACTCTTCATTGCCTTCCACCTGGAAGTCCACGAAAACCAGCTTGACGGTGGCGGGGCCCACAGCCCGGATCACCCAGTGGCACTCCACATTGTTGGGGTAGTTGTTGGGGTAGTCAGGGCTGGCGAGGACCCCCGACAGGCCCGTCAGGACGCCACCACACACATCTGCAAGGAAGCCCACTTGAACTGAATTTCCTCTCCCCCCATGGCTCCCCAACCCCCTTCCTTGGGAACCAGTCAACCCTCAACATGCCACTCCCAGAAGTATTTCAAGGGAACTTCATCACCGTCTACTGAGTGCCTGCTACGTGGCAGGCACAGGCCTGGCACTTAGCACCTATGCCATCTTTTTTAAGCTGTTCCCATAACCCAATGAGGGATGCATGGTGATTTTTCTCATTTTACAGTTGGAAAAAGGAGGCACAGAGAAGTTATGTAACTTACCAGCGTGAGTTTGGGTTCACCCAGACAGACCCTGAGACAAGGATTTGAGCGCGGAGTGTATTTGGGAGATGCAGGGGACCCCATGCGGGGAGGGAGGGAGTGAACACCACCAAAGGGGAGGGAAGGGGAGATGGCTACTAAAGGGCATTGACAAACCAGCTGTTGAGCCATGTTGGGGAACTCTGGGGAATGATGTAGAGCACACACGTCAGTTATGCCACCTGAAGGTATGGGAGCTGCTGTGGGAAGAAGTGACTCATGAAGACTTCAGAAAAAGCCCTCAAGCAAAGAGATGAGAGGGTTGGCAGGAGCCACTAAAGCAGCAAGTCCCAAGAGACCTGGACAGGGCCCTGACAGCAGGTCACCCAGCTGGTAACATAGAGAATGGGGTTTGATTAACTGCACAGCCTGTGCACTCAACCTTGTGATACTCACTGTCCCCTCTTAACGGGCCAATGGGGTACAGAGGCTGAGGTGCCTGAGTTCAGATGTGTCATCAAACCTCCCTATTAGATGAGAAAACTGAGGCTTAGAGAGAACCTCTAATGAAGTAGAGATGGGCTTGAAGTCTGAAAACAAGTGTCCTCCCAATTCTGCCTTATCTTAGCTGTGTGACCCTGGGCAAGTAACCCAGCCTCTCTGAGCCTCATGGGAATATTAGAAATCATAAGACCTGGGAGGGGCACACTTGGATGTATTTCCTGACACTCCAGAATCTTTCCCCATAGCGTAGCTTGTGAAAGGAGCACTGTTGCGTGGCTAAGGACTTGACTTCTTGTCCCAGTGTTTCCGCTCTGAGCTGTATGAACTTGGGAAGGTGCATTCTCTCTCTGGTCTCAGATTTATTGTTTGTGAAATGAGAGGGCAAGTTTCAGCAGTCTGTGAGATCTTTTCCAAGGCTAAGACCCATAGTCAAGCCTTTTGAACTGTGCTCTGGGACTCCACCGTGGCCCTCTGGTGCATCTATCTGCAGGCATCTGGTGCAAATTTCATTTTTATGTTGTATTAAAACTATTTTTTAATGCAGTGAAAGACAATGTCCACAGTCACATGTCTTACATATAAAAATTTAACTTATTGGAAGCCATCAATATTGACTTATGTTTTCAATGACTGGCTTACAATAAGTAAATGTTAAAAATATGAACTTACAAAGTAAATGCATACTGCTAAAATGCCGCCTTTATCTCTTTTATAAATCAGAGGTTAACATAAGGTTTTATTTGGTATATGAGTACTCCTGTTCTAAAAAATGTTGGAATACATTGCCCATGATATTATGACATTGATGAAGGTTATGACATCTTAACCTTCTAAAAACCTAACAGTTTAAAATTCCAAAACTGTGATTAGACAATTCTGTAATTCTTGTGCTTTAGCATTCTAAAATTTGATGCCTCTAATGCCAGAGGGAAGTGGTGTCCCACCTGACCCTCCCCTGCCATCCTCTTGGTTGCTGTTGGTGGACCCCGTGTACCAGAAGCCTCGGTGGTTGTCTATTGCTTGAACTGCCATGAATAAGGCCTTTGGCTTTGGCTTTGGAAGAAGGCAGGAGGTTTGAGTCTGTGCAGAGGAGTCTAAGTATAGGAGGATTGAGTCAAGGAGAAAGATAAGGAGAGCAAGGCCTCTGCTCCCTTCTCTAGACGGAGGGGCAGGTTGCAAGCCCAGTTGGAGGAGGGAAGGGTTAAAGACCTCAGATATAAGAAACGAGTTCAGGAAAGGTTTGGGGAGGGAGAGTGTGACCAGCTCCACATGGGCCCTCTGGCCCCTTCCACTCTGGGAGTTAGGGGAAGGGAGGTCCTGAGCCTGTGAAATGATAGGATGTGCAGAGAAATGATAGATGTCAGCAGCAGTGGCAGCATGGCATCCCCTCCTGTGTCCTGATGCCATGGCATGGGATAGGAAGGATAATGATAGAAAAATATAAGAGGCCTCATTCCTGAACACAGTGAGACCCTCTGGGGCTCCCAGGAATAATGGAGGGAGACATGGGGAGTGTTGCTGTGAGGGTTGAAAACCTCCAGCTACCAAGACTACAAATGGAGGCTGCCTTTGTCCCCTGAGCTACAAGAAGAGGGTCATCCAGGTTATGGAGCAACCTACATGAGAAGATGCCGAGACCCGGCAAGTCTCAGCTTAGCCTCCCTGCTCTCTTCTCGCCTCCATCCCAGGGCCACCCTCTCCGCTGCTGAGTCCCCCTTGCCTTTCTGGTAGCCTGCGGAAAAGCCGCGGCTAGCCACGTGCTTGTCTGAGTGGAAGATGACAGACATGACATGCCAGGAGGAGGCGAAGGGTGGCGGGGGCACCTGACCGCAGAACCTCCCCAGAAGGTTGCCCTTGTCTCCTGCGGCCCCATTGTAGATCTCCAGGAAGTCGAAGCCACAGGTGTCATGGTACTCCAGGTCAAAGGTGTGGAAGGTGAGCAGCACGGAGGAGCCCTCAGCCACTACGATCAGCCAGCTACATTCCGTGTTGTAGGGGTAGAGCCTGGGGAAGTTGGGGCTGGAGAAGTTTCCAGAAGGTGCTGAAAGCACACCCCCACATTTGACACCTGAGGCAAGAGGGAAGAATGGCTCAGAGTCAGTGCTGGGGTCTTGCGTGGTGGGACCAGCTACAAAGCTCAGTCCCTGGGATGGGATGAAAAAGCATGAGGCCATCCATGGTCCCAAATCAATTCATTTATTCATGTATTTGTCCATTTATTTACTTATTCTTCAAATACTTAACAGGCACTCTTATATTCATTCAATGAATATTGTTTGAGTGCAAGGCATTGTTCTAAGTGCTGGGGTTACAGCAGAAACAAAACAGACAAAAATTCCTGCCCTTGTGGAATTTACATTCTGGTGGAAAAGACAGACAGTAAACATAATAAGTAAAATATAGAGCATATAAAATAGTGATAAGTGCTATGGGGGAAAATAAAGCACAGAAAGGAGACAGGACGTGTCAGGATGGGCCTATAATTTTAGATAAAATAGTGCTATATGCCTGGCCCTAGATATGTGCAGGAGGGAATTTAAAAATTAAAAATAATAATAACCCTTCCCATCGCCCTGAGTGAAAATTTGCACAACAAGGTTAAAAGTACATCCTAGTATGTACATATTTGTTTATATTTGAAAAAGGGAAACAATGAAAGAAAAGGAATAAAATTTATTCTGTAAGGGGAGAAGCAAACAGGAGGAAAGAGGCAAGCATGACTGCTAGACCTCTTTAAATGCAACTTGTTTTATAATTTTGACTTTATAAATAATATTAATGAAAAATTTAAATTATCAAAAAAAATTTAAATAACCCCTAAATATCCCAAACTAAAAAAAATAAACTTAACTATTTATCAAGTTGGAGGCACATTCACCTGGGGAAAAATGATTTTAAGTGATTTTGAAAGACACTATATTTATTGTATATTCCTCGTGGGATATATCCCAAGGGCAAAATTAATCACGAAGAAATCTTAAGTACCTTCAGTCAATTGATTATTAGTAATAATAGTAAATACTATTACTGTATTTTATATATTAGAATAAAGCAAGAATGTTAATGTCAACAGAAACTAAGATTTTTCAGTGTAAGAATGATATAAATATAAAATTTAAAAATTAAGTAAAACCTTTGTAATCCTTAATTTGAATTGGAAACATCAGTATGAATTAAAGATTTTTTTCTAAAAAAATTAATTTCCTAACTCTGTTCACTAAAAAGTCCTAAAACCAAAGATATTCCAGTAGTTTTGTACCCTAGGCCGTAGATTAGGATTATTATATCTAACTAAAATGAACCAGAGCTCCTTAGAGAAATGGTGGGTCTAGGACAGGAAATATACAGAACACTCTCAGGACACCTTGTCACACCAGAAAAGCAAAGAAGCTACCAAAGACTGCTAGGATTGTGTCAAAAGACACAGGGACCTACCTGAAGGAGCTCCCACTGGCTAGAGAAGGTATAATTTGAGCATCAGAAAAGAATAATGACTGCAGTGAATTGAAATACATTAAATACATAAAAATTCATGAATGCATAATGCAACTCAAAAGAAATTAAAAAGAATCTCATTAGTTTCTTTTAGAGGTTGCTGGGACACAAATTCTTTTTTTTTTTTTTTAATTGATCTGTAGAAATAGAATTAGGCATCTACTTTGCTTTTCCTGTTGTGGACTTTATTCAGCAAAACCAAATAGCTGATGAAGGAAAATTGTTATTTATATTAGACTGCAGAAAGAATAACCACATTAGGAAAAAAAAATTTGCAAACCTTAATGAAATAATCATCATCAATGTCTGTTCTAATCACTGAGTAAAAGATAAATAATGAGAGGTAAAACCTAGATGGTTGGGTAGATGGATATTCCCTGTAAAATGCTTCCAACTTTGCTAAATATTTGAAAATTCTTATAATTAAAAAAATACCAAAAAAGTTAATTTCATAGGTAATAAAATGAAAAGGCAACCTGTGGAATGGGAGAAAATATCTGCAAATCATACAACTCAATAGCAACTAAATAGTCTGATTAAAAATGGGCAGAGAAACTGAATAGAAATTTTTCCAAAGAAGACATACAAATGGCCAACAGTTACATGAAAAGGTGCTCGACATCACTAATCATCAGAGAAATGCAAATCAAAACCACAATGAGATATCACTTCATATCCGTTACAATGGCTATTATCAAAAAACCGAGATAACAAGTGTTGGTGAGGATGTGGAGAAAAGGGAAACAGTGCACTACTGTTGGTAGGAATGTAAAATGATGCAGCCACTATGGCAAACATACGGAGGTTCTTCAAAAAATTAAAATTAGAACTACCATATGATCCAGCAATCCCACTTATCAGTGTACATCCACAAGAAATGAAGCAGGATATCAAAGAATTATCTGTACTCTGGTGTTCATTGCAACATTATTTATAATAACCAAGATATGGAAACAGTCTAAGTGTCCACTGATGAATGAATGGATAAAGAAAATGTGGTCTGTGTATGTGTGTGTATATATATATATATACACACATACACACATATATATGTATATATACACAATAGAATTCAAAGAAGGCCATCCATTCATTTACGACAACATGGGTGGACCTTGAGGACATTATACTAAATGAAATAAGTCAGACAGAGAAAGACAAGTACTATATGATATCACTTATATGTGGAATATTAAAAAAAAAAAAAGTAGAAAAGTGGTTGCCAGAAGAGATTGGTAATAAAAAAAAAAAAAAAAGAGGAAGAGACTCAAGAGTTAAATATCAGCCAAATGTAACATATAGACCTTGTTTGGATTCTGATTTGAACTAACCAATTGTAATGAGTTTGGGTTTTTTGGCAATAGTTGGAGAAAACTGAATATGAACTCAATATTAAATAAAATTAAGGAAATATACCATTATAATGATATTGTGAATATATGTATATGTATATGCATATATGCGCATATATGTATATATATGTATATATACGTATATATGTATATGTATGTATGTGTATATATATGTATACATATATATGTGTATATATACATATCTTTCTCTGTTAGAGATACATTCTGAAATATTTATGATAAAATAATATATCTGGATTGGCTTTAAATTTCTCCAGACCCCCCAAAATGGATGGGAGAAAAGAAACAAGACAAGCAGAATGTTGATAATTGTTGAAGGCAGTTGTTGGAGACAAAGAGATTCATTATACTATTTTCTCTACTTTGTGTGTGTTTGAAATTTTTCATAATTAAAAGTTAAAAAAATAGCTAATGAATTCTTAGTCATCTTCTCAGTGAGGCTTTTCCCAACCACCCTATTTACAATATAACCCTCCATACCCCTATACTCCTCTTTTCTGCTACATTTTTTTCCGTAGCACTTTCCAATATACTGTACATTTCACTTGTTTGGTTCTTCGTTAGTCTCTCTCCACAAAAATGTAAGCTCTCTGAGAGCAGGAATTTTTGTCTGTTTTCTTCTCTGCTGTATCCCAAGCACGTAGAACAGTACCAGGCCTAAAGCAGGTGCTCAATGCATATTTGCTGAATGAATAAGTGAATGATCTTACATCATCCTCACAATAGCCCCATAAAATAGACAGGGCAGGTGTTACTGACTTCATTTTACAAATGAGAAATCTGAGGCGCAGAAAAGGAAGTAACTTGCTGTAGCTGACGGCTATCATTTTGGTCTGCCCGGCATCACCTCTTGCAAGAACACACCCCCTCTGTTAGACACCGGGTCGCGCTGACTCTGTGTGGTAAAACCTCTGGCCCAGGGGTTGACACATGACCCAGCTGGGCAATCCTGGGGCTCCGATCACCACCGCAGTGACTGGCCTAAGGAGTGGGCTTGTGCTCTAGGCCAGGCCAGAGTCCTGCTACAAATGCCCGGAGGAGAACCCTGTGCTCCCTGGTATAAGGAGAGCCCTGGACAGGACCATGCTCAGGGCCCATTGAGAAAGCTTGTCAGTAGATGGCAAGAATCATGTAAAAAGTGGAAATGGCCCTGAAGCCAAGATGCCCTGGCTGCAGGCATCCTTGAGCCTAGCTAAGCGACATTCCTGCCTCCCTGGTTACAGAGCCAATGCATTCTTCTTTTTGCTTAAACTCATTCTGGTTGGGTTCCTGTCACTTGCAACTAAAAGCATCCTAAAGAATACCCTTAACCAGAGTCCCTGTAAGAGAAAACACGCTCTCCAAGCATGTGCCCTGTCCCAGGGTTGTGCTGATTCAGAATGGGCCCCTACCTGAGAGCTCACGGTGGGAGGACAGGGGTTGGGAAGTCACACAAATGAGACAAAGTCATGCAATGTGATGGCACTGTAACCATGTAGGGGCTCTGGGGTCCAGAAGAAGGAAGGCCAGTCTTGCTAGGGCCAGCACTATTAGGGGAGGGACAAGATTCGTAGAGGAGGTAATATTTGGGTTTGACTAGGAGGAAAGAGAAAGTTTTGTTAGCTGGGAAGATTTGGAGGGAGGAAATGGCATGAACAATGGCTCAGATCCACCATCATTTAGCCTCCTGAGCCTCGATCGTGCACCTGTGAAGTGGGGATAATGACGCCTCCCTTGCTTGGTGGCTGTGAACACTGATGACATAAAGCCATGCAAGGGTTACCAGATACACACCTAGTTCACATTATTGAATCCTTTCCTGGCCCCTGGGGCAGACCAGGGCAAGAACAGTGTCTGATTCATGCCTTTATTGCAGGAGGGAGGACAGAGGGACATTCTGCCCAGTGCCTGTCTTGTCCATTCCCGGCCATGTCCATGGACAGGAAAAGTTATGAGAGTGTCAGAGCAGAAGTCCTATGACCCAGGAGGCCCTGGGTTCCACCACAGGTGAAGGCCTTGTCCTCTAGGACTCAGCCAGGCACCCTGACCTCCAAGGTAACCCCAAGGCTACTAAAACCATGGTGGGCTAGAAAATGAAAACAGCTAGCTCCTCCCACCACATAGGCATGAAGCCAGATGCCTGGGTGTTCAGCTCATCTGTGCCACCAACAAGGTGACAGGCAAGTTATGTTTCCTTCCTGAGCCCCCTTGAGCCAAGAAAACAAGGCACTGATGGCTGTTTGCATGCCTTTTTGAGACAGGTGAAATGATATCACCTTCACTTCACAGACAGGCACATACCACTCGTGGGAGCTAGAGCAGCACAAAATGGCCTGGGATCAGAGTGTTAGCTGGGTTCTGGGAGCTCCAAGGAGAGAGCATGAGGCTGATGAAGGGACATGGAAAGCTTCCTGGAAGAGGTGGTGTTTGACCTGAGCTTGATGGATGAGCCAGAAGTTCTAAGGTGGAAAAAGAGAAAAGGGACCTCCCAGGCAGAGGGGCCAGTGGATGCAAGCCCCGAGGGTGAAGCATCTCCACAAGGGAGTGCGACCCTTTGACAGAGCACAGGATGCCCAGCGGACAAAGGGAACTGAGGGTGGATATTAAATAGAAATCAGAGACAATACTCAGAGGGCACTAAATACCATAATAAGGAGCTTCGATTTCACTTGGCTGGCAGCGGGGGAGTACAGCAGGCTCTCAGGAACAAAATAAAGACTCTTGCCAGCAACAAACCTTCAAATCTTAGTTCTCTGAGCCATTTTCTTTGCCCTTGGAAACCATACAGGCTTGGACAGGTTACTTAACTTCTCTTGCCCTCAGTTTCCTCATCTGTAAAATGGGAGACTAATACCCACCTTGAAGTTTATTGTGAAGTTTAAACACAATCATATATGTAAAGCATCCAGCACATATCAGGCACTTGGTAGATATTGTTTTTCCCCATTTCAGAAACAAATCTATCCTTGATTCAACCAAGTCCCCCAGAAGGACCTCTTGCTTTCTGGCCTCCCACGTAGAAACCTCCTGAGACTCCAGTTGCTGCCTGCCCATTCTTTTCTCCCTCCTCCAGGTCCTGCCTGTCCCAGGGAGTGCCTACCTTTCATGGCTTGAGCCCTGGGGCCCGGGCCCAGCAATGCCACTGCCAGCAGCAGACAGGACCTCAGTTGTGCCAGCATCTCCTCACTGGGGGACTCCCACAAGTCTGCAGCGTTCCAGACAGGCCAGGATCTGAGGGTCCGGAACAGGGGAAAGAGAGGTGAGGCTGAAAAGGCCTCCAAGTTAATGGTGGTGTGAATAATTCAGTGGCCCCTCGAATTAGTAAGTTGATCCCCAGGTGCTTCCTTCACTCCACCCTAAGGTGACGGATCTAGTGTCACCAGGTTTACACTTTCTGAGATCTGCACTGGCCACATTGCATTGAGAAGAGAAGCAAACTGGGGCTGGAAGAGAATCTGGTGATGGAGAAGGGGCATGAGTTTGGGGTCTAGGTAGATCTGGAATGCAGTTATCTAGGTGACCTGGAACAAGTTATCTAACTCCTCTGGGTCTTGGTCTTACTCATCTGTCCAATGGGGCCATTCAGCCGTGCCTATAGGGCTATGGAAATGAACTGTGATAATATATGCTAAAACACAGAGTGGGCACTCGCTATAAGTTTTTCCTATTCCCCACCATGGGGGAATTGAGTTGAAAGCGGCCTCTAACGGGGCAAGTGGGACAAGCATCCTTCAGACATGCTTAGATTAGCTCAGAGGGAGAGCAAAGGAGGTTGTAGTGGACGGCTGACGAGGGAAAAGCCTTTTCGTGGAAGAATGCAG